TCCTACCAATTGTGTAAGATCTAGAAAAACCGAAGTGAACCGAGAAGTTCATGGAGGTAGGCCTAGGCCCACTGGGGCTGTAGTGCCAAGGAAAAGAAAAATTTAAATGATGTGGAAGTTACAGAATAATATCAAGTTAATATATCAGTTATCGTTATTGGTGTCAGTTAAGAGAGCTTTCCTGTGGCAGAAATTTATTTTACAGAATAAAATATACAATCCATTTTTTTTTCTCAATGAAGCGAATTTCATCATTTCCTCTATGAAGTTAAAGCTATGGCCATGAGCTGAGAGCATCGTGTAATGGCAAAGGGAAAATATCTCTGCATGCAGTGACGTCACATACATAACTTGTCTCAAGGCCTCTTAGAAGCACCCAACCTGACTGGAATATGTTAATTTCAAACAATAACAAGGACTTTTGGATAAATCTAAAGAAAAGCTGTCTTTATGCTAATTAATTGAGCACCACGCCATGAAGACATATGGACAATGGAGGCATGGCTCCACCATTCTTCACCTCGGCAATATATGGAGGAATGTGCTCTTAAAATTTCATCAGTTTCTTACACTTTAGTGAAATATAAGCATTTGTAGCAATCTGTTTTATGTTATGTTTGATTAAGGGCAAGTGAGAACGAATAAACGAAATACATAAATGACACAATGTAAAACAGTGTGCCTTCAGGTCTGTATTCTGTGGAGGCTATTCGGACGCTGAGATCTGAGCATCGGAGTCTGGAATGTGGAGCAGCACGCACCGACGTTGAAAACAAATGGTGATGGATCATCTCCTTGTTTCAAATTGTTCTGAATAGGAAACATATCAGGCATATTTCCATCTACACATTCATTATTTTAGTTTTCTCTTAAACATAACTAAATGGGCGTAGCTAGTTTAATTGTATACCAAACACAGCAAGAATATTGTATAATAGTCCTCTCTTAATTGAGTCTTAGGATTTGAAAGTTTATAAATTGTTGATTCGTTGCACCATAGTACTATTTTTTTTCCTCCAGCATCTGACGAATGCAGAGTATCTGAGAAGTAGGCCGCGCCATAGCTCAAGCGGTTAGTCTCTGGCTTCCCACAGTAGGGTCTCATCAAGTGGGATTTGTGGTGGACAACGTGGCGCTAGGGCGGGTTTTCTCCGAGTACTTCGGTTTCACCTGTCAATCTTTATTCCACCAAATTCTACATCATCAAAATCACCCGGGGCAGGTACAATAGGCCAATCAGTGGCCGCCGTGCCGAGTGGACCCAGCTGGACTTCACCCCCCACTAAACAAATTAAAAAAAAATTAAAAATCTGAGAAGTAATTCATGTATTATGCCGAAATCCTCACTGATGACTCCGAATAATTTTGTTTAGAAATGGACTTGACCTTTAAGTATAAAGCTGGATTAAGTTGATGACCTTGATTATTACCACAGTCAGTTTCATAAACCTGCAGATCACAATCGCCGTACAGTAGAAGGCATAATATGACTTTGCCTCCTCACTCATAAGGATTGTGAGTTCGAATCTCACTTGAAACATGAGCGTGCGTCTGCGTTCTTTCTGGTTTTTTATTATCCCGTGTAGATAGTGGCTTTATGGTGGTCTAATCCCTCGTACGAATAAAGTCTGTAATATTCATAGTTTCGGATTATTTCTGAAAGGGAAGGGGACAGAAAGCTTAATCCGTCAAAGGAAGAAGACATTTTGTAGCTCTTCTTATAAGCACGTGCAACAGTAGGCTTTTATCCCTGTTGAATCATTTCTTCCTTATTCCATTCAGAGTTAACAAACTTATTGACCTCGAAACGTAATACTTCATTTCCTACTTGAAGCCATTTTGCCCGAATTCGATCAGTAGCTGGTGGTATAGGCTCCTCAGCTTCTCAGCCTAAAAAGGGATGCTTATTCTGCATCAGCGGCTTTCTGATATTGGGTATTAGTGTTTCTGAACCTGCCTATCAATTCCATGCACAGTCAACTGTTCACAGAAGTAATTCTTACATCTATACGTAATATTCTTGGAATCAACAACAATATCACACTTCTCATCCGTCAATGATACTTCTTAAATTAATTTATGCTTCTGATATTCTTATATGAGTTATGTGAATGGAAAAGTAGCGGCTCCGGTCTAGAAAACCGAAATTAACGGCCGTGGGGTTTCGATGTGCTGACCACGCGACACGCTCTTTCCGCTAAAGTTGTCACTAACTTCGCCGAAAAGCGGCGGTCGCTCTGTCGGTGTAGTTCGCTTGCGGACTAAAACCACGGAGTTCATTTTTTTAATATTCTTGCCCTTCCTATTTGTCTCAACTCATTAATTTTGGCTTTCAAATATTCCCTTTACCTTCCACTGAAATGTCTACTAGCTTCAGTTCTTACATTGTTCAAATAACCTCACTTCATTTGGTTCAGATCTTGTGAACATTTCAATTTAACTTACGCCCTTTGCACTTGTTTGTGCATAAAACGATGGGGTGAAAACGGAGATAGATCCATAGACATATGCAGCCCGCTAATACGGTTCGGGTATAACACAAAGTATACAGTGCCGTCCTATCTTATGCGGTATGAAGGTATTAATAAGTTATCACTTCATGAGCAAAGTTTGAAATAATTCGAATCCCAAAATCCCCCTCACTTTACATTTATTCCTGTGAGAAAACATGTCTTGAATTATGTGAGGTTTTGAGGAATGCATCCCGGCATAAAATGCGACCCCAATATCAGAATAAAGAAATCATAAATGAAACCTCTACATAAATGCAACAAAATATACATTTTAAACGTGCATGCCAGAAAACACTTAAAGTTTAGAAGAAAAGAAAAATGGTGTTCACCTCAGCAAGCCATGAATAATATTCAAATTCATAAAACATTATCGCAGTTCGTAAAGTTACCACATCTTTCAACAGAAATGACATCGCCCGTTTTATTATTAGAACCAGAATTCGAAGGTTTTCATAATTCTTCCTACAACAGGAAATATATGCCTAAATCATGAACAACGAATGAAACGAACAATGATTCGCATTGATTCCACTAATTGCATGTAAACTTTTAATTGAACCACCTGGGAGGAAGACACCATTTTGGAGACTGAGGCATTTGAACTTCCTTAATTAACAACAATGTCACTTTCGATATTATGTAGCGTCTAATCTAGGCATAGAAGAGTGAATAATATTGTATCAGTTAACAAACGAATAAGGCCTGATGGTGTGAACTATTCAGCTGCCTCAGGATAGCTTCCAATGGCGTGCTCATGTGAATTGGCAACGGGATACAAAATATGCCCCGGTCTCCTGTACGATCTATTACAACCGTGTGTGGAGCAAAGAATAGGTTACTACCAACGTGGCTTCCGGAGAAGTAAATCAACAGTAGATCACATACAGTCAATGAGAGAGAATTTGAAAGGAAAACAATGGAATGTGGAGTCAGAATATTTCACCTTTTTGACTGATTTCAGAGCAGTTTATGACGCCATGAGAAGGAAGAAATTACTAGAGGATATGAAGGAGATTAAAATAGTCCAGAAATTAATTTTGTTGGTAAGAGCAACTTTGGAACATGTAAAACACAGAGTTAAATTTCAGAACGTTTTTCTGTGTTTTTGTATAGGTAAAGGCCTTCCGACGAGCTGATCACCCGCCCAAGGAGTCCTACCGAATGTGTAAGATCTAGAAAAACCGAAGTGAACAGAGAAGTTCATGGAGGTAGGCCTAGGCCCACTGGGGCTGTAGTGCCAAGGAAAAAAAAACTGCAGAACAACCCATCAGAATCATTTGGAACATAAATGGGTCTAAGGCAGAGGAATGTCTATTTAACGTAGAATTAGAAAAGGCAGTTGGAGGTTCGGAGATGGAAACCGAAGAGAGCTGTATATAACAAAACTATCCAGGTACTTGCATACGGGACGACATTATTTTAGAGAGGAGAATGACAGGTGTGCTGAAATAAGCAATCAGAAACCTCAGTAAATCAGTGGAACTTAAAATCAATTTGAAAAAATTTGAATATATGGAAGTAAAAAATGTGCCCTCTAATGACCTCATTAACATTCCTACCTTTGAATTTTCATTCAAAAAATCGCCCTACAAAAATATTATTAGTGAATGACAAAATAGAAAGGCTGTAGAATAAACTGGTAGTGTCAAAATCCTGGCTTCATGGTTTGGTGCTTAAGCATAAGGATAACTTTATTTTTACTCTCTCGCACTAAGTTCCTTATACATTAAATTTAAGTGGCAGTTCAAAATCTCAAGGAACTTTTGACAGTTGAAAATATCTTAAATTAAAACTAAAAAAAAAAAAAATATTGCCAACTTTATTTTTCGCTCTATAAAATAAAATTTTAATGATGCTGCATGAGATTATGGTAACACATTTCGCCGACATAGCGATAAAAGCACTAGTTGCAGGCAGCATGAATTATTTTGCTGGTAGGTGGCTCTGCTAACGTTAGTCTCTCGATCGTCAACTGCAGTCGTCTTAATTAAAAATTACTATTTTAAGAGCCTAAATTTTTTTTCTTCTTGCTGTTAATATTGGATATATTGAATGGATTGTTAACATTAGAGGAACGCATACTTATATTTCTATGTATAACGCTATGGACGTTTGATCTATTTTGGGCCCGATCTATTAAAGCCCATATGAGTGTGTATATCTACTTTATAATCTTACAAGCTCAAATATTTTAAAATAAACACGTCTATGAACATTCGACATTATCCCATTTTAATCTGCTAAACAGCATCATAACAAATTTATATACGTGTTTAACAACTGGATGACAGAAGAGCATGAGCAAACAAATGACTTAGTTCTATAGCGTACAGAAACTAAAAGGCCACGGATAACAAACAGAGGTGCACAGCACGATGAACGTATGATATATTAAAAAGCTAGTACTGGTACATCAATAACATGACACCACCTCCTGTGTTGATAAATGTCCAGGAAAGTATTATGGTTCGGCCGCAAGGAGGAGTGGTTTCAAGGAAGAAAACCCATGGTTCGTAGGCATATATTAAAATTGGTTGCGCTGCTACACGCCATCGAAGAACTTGCTTCCCTCTCATCGACATCGTAACGAAGTAAGTAAGCAGTTGAACGTTGTTTGTCTGTTGTCAACATGTAAAATATTTTATAGTAATTAACACATAAATAGAACTATTTCATTTGAGCGGATTGATTCTTAAATGTTTTCAAAACTTGTAAAGAATTTTGCAGTATTTTGTGGAATCCAAAACTTAAAAAAAAAAAAAGTGTTCATAAGAGCCCGCTACAGGATCCCATTTTAAGCCAAATGTATTCCGTCCATTTCCCCATAAATTACATTCATAACTTCCATTTTAAAATAAATCTCTCGTTTATATATTATTCTCAAAATCGAACTCTCTCCTTCAGGTATTCCAACGAAAATTTTGTGGGCATTTCTCAGTTCTCCCATGCGTCCCACATGTTTCGACCATCTCATTCTCGTTGACTTTATCATCTAATAATACATGGTGGAGAGCACTACGTGGGGCCCTTTTAGTAAATTTACCGAATACTCGTACAATTACTTTTTCCTCTTCCTAGGGCGTTTCATGTACTACGATATGTCGGCATCCTTGTCGGTATGGGACACAATACAAAGTCATACGCAGTAACTATCTCTGTCGCAGTCAAGGATCCAGTTATATTGTTGTTCCCATATACAAACACAGGAGTTTTGTTTTTCCTTGGCACTACAGCCCCAGTGGGCCTAGGCCTACCTCCATGAACTTCTCCGTTCACTTCGGATTTTCTAGATCTTACACATTCGGTAGGACTCCTTGGGCGGGTGATCAGCTTGCATTATCGTCTGTCAAATAAACATGCTAACAATTTTAGTATTTATTTTAAAATACGAGTAAGTTCTGCTGGGAACTACGCAGTACCATGCAGCATACTGTCTGCTCGTGACCAGTCTTCCCATCATAACGAAACATCTGCTGATGCTACCGTTAACAGACTAAAATTTGCTGAAACTATTTCTTCTGGGTAAACTGTAAAGGTAAGAAGTTTTTCCTGTGCTTAACTAATCAAGCTCTATCTAATGATGACTTGTGGGAAAGTGGATTTATATATCCACGTATTCTTGAGCTCGTCACTAGATGAGGTTAGTTCTTCTGGGTTAAAGGAAAGACATAATTAACCTCCTCGTTTTTTCTGACAAACTAAAATATTGTTACAAAGAAACATTGTTAAAAATATTTAAAGAAATTTGAGACTGATTTTATGGTAAATTTTCTTTTCGCCGTGCATTTGTTTAAATAACCACTGAGTGTGACAGACTTAGTTGGCTCATATTTTTCGATAAACATTCACAATATCAGACAAAGTGATTTAGGAAAAGAAACGTTGCTCTATTACAGAAAGAAACTGTTGGAAATTTTTACTAAGCATTTTGATATTCCTGAAGAATTTTTAAAACGTTTTCAATACGCTCATACTATTTTTTTTCTGGAACGTTTTCTTCTTTTAATCAGCATATGCAAATTTCGTCCTTAGCTCCCGTCGCTAACTCCGGAATTCGAAAGGTTATTAACCGACTGCTGTTATCGAAATCAGTAGGACTTGATGATATGCATATTTTTGGTTTTATACCTTTTCTCAATTTTGTCTTCCATATTATATGTGTAACATTTCAGAATAAATTTCCTAATTTGTGGAAGCAAGCATAATTTGTTCTCACTTTTAAAAGAAAGCACACATGTGCCTCTGCTGCTATTCAAAGGCCTATAGTTATACTTGAACTGTCTTCGCTTTCACAGAAGCTGGGATCTTGGGTTCTAATCCCACTTAAATCATGAATGTTTGGTGTGTGTATGCGTTCATTCTTTGTCTGTGTTGTCTTGTGTTTAGATAGCGTCCTTGCGACAGACTGATCACTCGTCCAAGGAGTCCTACTGTCTGTGAAAAATGATTACGGAACTGAATAGAGGCCATGGCCCTGAATTGGCTGGAAGAGTCATTAAAATAGTTATACTTAAGTATTCCTCTAAAGTTTTCGAACTAAAAATGCTTCTCATTTATTTACATCTAAGAAAGTAACAAATTAATATCTCTTTATAACAATGTTGTCACTTCTCTCCTTGAGTTTGTCCACATGGTCAAGCTGATTTATCTTATTTAATATTGATTTCGACCTCATTCTACATGCACTGCCTCCGCACAAACCTGGTGATTACGGATCATCTTGTGGCCGAACCTGTATATCTTCATTCATCTCCCTTATCAGGGTTGTTATTATTATTATTATTATTGTTATTATTATTATTATTATTATTATTACTGGGGATAAATGAAACGAGTGGTATGTACTGTCTTCGCTCGCTTGGAAACCGGGATCTTGGGTTCGAATCCCACTCAGGGCATGGATGTTTGTGTGCGTTTTTCTGTGTTTGTGTACAGATAGAGGCCTTGCGACGAGCTGATCACCCGCCCAAGGAGTCCTACCGAATGTGTAAGATCTAGAAAAACCGAAGTGAAAGGAGAAGTTCACGGAGGTAGGCCTAGGCCCACTGGGGCTGTAGTGTCAAGGAAAAGAGAATCAAAGGAGTGGACGCCAGTGAGAGGTATACTCCTATAAATGTAATTAATCGCAGATAAACGAAAGTCTGATCGTAAGGAATAGGCAGCCAGCTAACATGAGAATTTCAAGATTGTTAGCATACATAGGTACCAGCACAAATGGCAGGGAGCTTCCTCACTAGAAGGTACCAAAATCGCTCAGGATGAGATACACAATGAAGCACAACACATTCACGGACTGCAGGCAGATTCGGAGTCCGATATCTTGCAATTAAAGTAGGATCTACTTACAAACATTTCATTTCGATGAATATCGAGTCATGTAAATCACTTTATTTAGCGATTTATAAACTTCGATTTAAATCGAAAATTTAATATAATATTTTGGCAACAGAACGTGCAGCAAGCGTCTGCTCTGGTTCAACAGGTGAAGCGAAGTGATTTGCAGTTGTGAGAGCTACCAGTTCGAAACGCTACAAACTCAAACGTGCTGCGTTCAGGAATTACGTAATTCTCTTAAGTAATAGGTCACAGTCAGGCTAGACAACTACGTCATAAGTTCCCTGATACAAATAGGTTGGCTGGTACTTAAACCCTTCCTTCGAAGATGCGGAAAGCATTGCGTTCAGAGGCGAGTCGAGCTCGAAGACGGTTGCACAAGCTTTTTAAGGAGGAGACAAGCTGGTACCTCAAGATCTAAAAAATTACACAGAAACGTTGTATTTCCAGCGTAAGATAAAGCAATACAACATTATAAAAGTCACGATTATGCCTTTATTAATGGCCGAATTTAAGTATATCAACATGTAAAATTGATAAACCAGTAACATTAAAATAATTATAAATAAATTTGCAGTACATGTTTCAATCAAAATACAATAAATTATTTAAAACGGTCCGAAAAAAACGCCGAGGCACTCCCGTACATATAAACCGGCTTCGCGGTATTCTGACAAGCCGACAATATTCTTTGCATATTTCTGGCAGATTTCCCTGTCTCTCGCTGCGTTTTCAGGCGTTCCTTAATGTTCAGTATTCGGGTTCTTGCTGTTTAAAATTTACATTAATGATATATGTGACATGATTAATTACTCAAAGTTTTTTTTTCATGCTGATTACATTAAAGTTTTTGGAGTGTTTAAATCACCTAGTATTTTTTTTTAATTTGGAGTCAGTTATTGGCTGTGTACGTGACTGGTGTTCCGTTAATTTGTTTTATGATTAGAGTTAGGAAAAGTAGTTATTACTTTCACCAGGGAAACAAAAACTGCTAAATTACCAGCATATTCTTGGAAACTTTCTTATATTTCGAAGTTATTTTATGAAGCATGTGGATATACGCATCGGCCGTAATCTCTATTTTCATCTTCATGTTGATTTTAGTTTTCATATTCCATGAAGATATTAGAGTCAATTCGCACTCAGCCTTCTTCACCAGAGACAACTACGAGTAAATGATGTTGTATTTTACTTTGGTCAGATCTGAGCTAGAGTGTGCCTCTGATGCCTTCAGCTATTACGATTGGTGATTCCAGTACATACATAAATAAAATGTGTAAGCCTTTGCGACATATGATACTTTCGAAATAATTAGTATCGTTATGACGGTTGATTAGAACAACTACACTCTTAGACACTACACACCCGTCTCAGTAGTTCAGATGATTTGCGTTTAATAAACATTTATAATGGTGCGAAATCTTATGCTTAGGCTCCAAATATAATCTGCCTATTTGTTCTTCATCAGATCATACTTCATTTTTTCTATTTATTATTATTATTGGAGGGGGTGGGTTTCCTCATGCACCGCGACTAATAGTTTATTGTACGTCCCCCTTTGATATTCTACCAGTCTCCATACCCTGCCGGTACTGGTGCTCGCTATCAGCCCCGTTTAGCCAGTGAGGCTAGCTGTGGTACCCGATGCTTCCCCATCTACCGGAGGCATTGGAAACTACTTGGGCGGGAAACTTTTTACCTAATTTTGCTCAGAGGTCTCCTAGAGATATGAGGATCTTTTACGTGCCGTAAATCTACGACACGGGACCCACGGCTTAAAGTCCCTCCCGGAGGACTTGTTCCACGACCTCCGCCGGGTTTTAACCCGCGTACCTTGAGTCATGACGTGGGAACGTTACCCCTAGACTACGGAGGCCGCTTCTTTGTTTCTATGTTCAGTTGTTCCTCCAGCCACTGTTCTTCAGGTATATAGGTATATGTACTACCGCTGCTGATGCAGTTCGTAAATTCGTTGATATTTAGGTACTTAGGTTTCAGTTTAAATAACATTATTTTATGCTAGCTTTTATGTACTATTCTTGTGTTTGTTTTTGTTTGTTGTCTCGTTTGCATGTTCACTCTGTAACTGGACACTGGCTGTTTAGTTCAGCACGTATTAATAAAGAATTGAGAGCTTAGACTGAATTTTCTCAGGATAGATTTCATGGTTAGTTCTTGTTAATGGGATAATAAATTTTCGGGTGTCCAAAAATGGTGTGTTTGACTTGACATGTAAGTGACTTTCACATTTCAAGCAGGATTGTTTTCGTGGAGTTAGTCGTATACAAAACTCTTCAAATTACCGAATCGGATGTTGTATATAATACTTTATATAACTCTAATGAAATGCTATTTTTCCTTTTTTAGACTCAAATCATGGGGAAAAATGATGAAATCTGTATAACAGGTTATGTGACGGTCTTGTGTTTTCTACTTACTTTACTCTCTGGTGAGTACACGGCTTCAGAACATTTTCTGCTTTCCAACATCATTTCTCACCTTCCGACAAAGGATGTGAAGCATGGGATATCATATCTTCACATGGTTTTCATGAATCAACTTACAGTAATGTTTTTCCATTCTTTCAGACACTTTGATTATTTTCGTCTTTCGTCTTTTGGTTAAAATGCTACAGTATACATTACATATTTACGCACTGGCATAGCAATGAATTTTAGAGGGTTAACATGGATGAATCTTTTATTCGTTTTGTATAATTACGGATAGCGAACAGTAATTTATTTTCATATTTTCTTTCTGAATACGCATAACCTACATATTAAGAGTAAAACCCTAACAATTTTTGCAATAGCTTGAATTGAAAACATTTCTATGAAAGTCATAACTCATATCTGAGTACGGTTTGAAGTTCTCACATTGGTAGTTTTGAAAGTTTCTATTTTGGGGATATAACATTAAAGTCTTCGATGTATTTACGTATACTATTCGTAAATGCCTCACATTAATTTAAGTGAGCTTAAATAGCGATATCTTTGTCTGCAAATGATAGGAAGTTCAGATTATATATATTTTATGACGTTTAAACGTCACTGAAAAATGTTGTTTTTCTTCATTTTGTAATCTATACCAGATTTCAAAGCCTCCATCATGGTGGATAACTTTTACGATGATGTAAACAGACTTATTATATTTCTATATCATAAAGTTGCTTCGCTAACGGAACCTGTGAAGTCAGTTAAGATAACTGCATTTATGCACTTTCTTAAAGCAAGGCAGTGCTTACAAGTTTCGTTGGAATAGCGACAAAGTTATGGCGTCTACACTGCTCTATTCTAATGTAAGTTGCATTGGTATTTTTAGAGTAAGAAATGGCTTTCTCGGGAATCAGATAATTTGTAATAAATGTGACAGCTGTATTGATGTTTTCCGTTGAATCACCGGACTGATATACTAGATTCAATAAAAATTATATTAAACGAATGATTTATTTATTGAGCACATCGTAATATAAGTGGATCACATGGTGGTAGTTATTGCCCTAGTGATAAATCCTGTACATTGACTTTTGAAGGAATGGTGTGTGGACAAGGTTGCTCTCCAAAGAATTACGGCACCAATAAATATGTGTGTGTGTGCAACGCCACCTACTGCGACAACTTGCATCCCCCAGAAGAACTGCTTCAACCTGGATACTACCTGCAGTACACTTCAACACAGAAGGGAAAACGTTTGCAGCCTATATCAATGGAAATCTCTACACAAGGTACATTAAAATACCTTATATTTTCTTTAAAATTTCCATAGTTACTGTAACAATAATGTAGAGCCGGTATAGCGATTAGCTATGGGAGCTGGACGACAGAGGGGTCGGAGTTCTTGTCCCGGTAGGTTCAAGAATTTTCTCTTATCCACGTTGTCCAAACCAGCTCTGGGGTCCACCCAGCGTCCTATCCAATAGGTACCGGGGTTACTTTCATTGGGAGTAAAGCGGATGGGGCGTGAAGTTGGACCACTCAGTTCTAATTAGTGTCGAGGTCAAGAAAACGTAGGTATATACATCCATTTTCCCATAAGCCCTCATGTTGCAGTGCTTAATTAGCTAAGCACAGGGATAACTTTACCTTTTAAGATAAGAATAATGAATAAATTCTAGTTACTTTTGTAGTTACATGCCTCCTTTTGTATTTCAATGCAAGTATATACCGTATTTACGCATGTATAGGCCGCACATTTTTTGCCAAAAATTGAAGAGGAAAACTGGGGTGCGGCTTATATTCGAAATATTCGAAATCACACTTCATTAAAAAAAATTATATTCATAATTAGTAATACAGAGTGTTCTACTCCTGAAATAATATTCCAAGAAAATTATTTTTTCTATAATTTCTGTCTGAAAATTGTGCTGCGGCCTATACATGCGTAAATACGGTAATACAGTGCGTACAATCAAGTGCGCGCCGCGGCTGCAATTTGCCGTGAGTCATACCACCGCAGAACGGATGCAGTCGCGGGGAGGAGTTGCAACACTCCCCGCGACTGCATCCGTTCTGCGGTGGTATGACTCACGGCAAATTGCAGCCGCGGCGCGCACTTGATTGTACGCACTGTACATTCCTTTAGTGTGTTAGACAAATTTTGGGATAGGGCTTTATGAGTGGGTAAGGGCCACGTTTTTAAGAGTTATTATCCTTGATCCTCTCACACATCAGATCTATATAAATAATACATTCGACAATTTGCCAGCAAATAACGGAACAGGTAAACATGCATTTCACATTCAGTACTCAAGTAAGATGTCTTTGCATGTGTCAAAATAGGTTTTCAGTGACTTTGTTGTGTAAATTTGTCCGAAGATGTAGCATGCGAAAGGGAAATGAAAAATTCATATAAATTTTGACAGGAAAATCTGGATAAAATCTTAGACACATGCCAAATCGAGCCATCTGGCTACGGCTGAGCTTCTTCGAGCACTGCGACGAACCCTTCAATTACATAAAGGACTTTGAATTTCATGACCTAAGCGACTATTATTTCGTAAAGGAGGATATCGCTGCTTGGAGATGGTTCACCTTTTGGAAATAGTTTCACGATTTCGTGTAGCCTGCAATGTTTTCGTTTCCATCCGTCCATCCTTCCATAAGATAAAAGCAAAACAATTATAAATCCCACTCAATTAAGATACTAAATTAGTAAAGCGTCTGGCTACAGCCTCGATAAACAGGGTTTGATTTGTTGGCGCCACCAGGATTTTTCAAGGAAGGGCAGCCAGAAAATTTGTTTACAAACCTACTACTAAGCCGTTTAATATTACTTTTACTGTTGGCCTTAGAGTATTCAGGACAGAAGAATTATATTTAAATACTTTCAGTTGTCGTTATTAATATTTTGTGTATTTAATTTTAATATATTCTAAAATTCCAGCAGGGGAGAAGATCCTTAGTTTTTTTTCACTTTGTCGGCGCCCACGGTTTCATTTCCGGAAGAGAGGAATTATTATATTCATCTTGTCGAGATAAACTCTGGGGCCTTGCCGCCCTTACGTCCACGGTTGAGCACGCGTACATAGCTTTGGTATAAGTATGGGTGGATTTCCCTCGAAACTGAATGAGCTGCACTGTGCAGCTGATCTCTCACGTCGCTCACATCTTCTGCTATCGAGGTGCAAAGCTTCACTTCCCTAAGCAGTGTGCACCTTCACCGCATGGTGCTTGTGTATTCGTACAAGCAGTGTCAAGTGCATCCACCATGAAGTATCTAGTACGATAGAAACGTGACAGCGGGAGAGTGACGGCGCACAGTGCAAAGAGACAGCACTACAATTTCTATATTTTATGTTCTAACCTCACTGTCAAAAACTGTAAATGCTGAAAATGTGCATTGCGTTCTTGCCATTTGGTAACACCGTGCATAGGTCCAGTAATCTTCAACACTCTACTGAAATAATTGAATTAAAAGACTTAACAATGAGTATAACGTGTTTGATAAGTCATGTATTTAGTCCGTAATTTTCTTAAGTCACAGTCAAATTTCGCGAGGATAAAACATTCACATACGACTCTTCACTTTCACAAGTGAGCGCAGTCGCACATGAAAATATGAACTTCTGAAAGCCGTAAGAGAAAGTGGAAAGTACAAGCGTTGAATATTAACTGATGCCGATTGGTATAATTCTTGCATACAACAACCTTCGCAAAATGCAACTAGAATTAGAGACGCTCGTGATGATTTTTTTTATTGCTAGTGGGGTGGGACTAAGTGCCTTGTACTGCGGCCACTTCTGGCCTATTGTACCAGCCCCAGATGATAGGTGAGGGTGATTGTGGAGCAATTGGGGGAATGAAGATTGGCAGGGGAAACCGAAGTACTCGGAGAAAATCTGCCCCAGCGCCATTTTGTCCACCGCAAATCCCACTTCACCAGACTGATCAGTGATCAGAGAAAAACTCGACTGGGAGTATTATATGAAGTCCATACCTTCAAATGTAGTTGCATGAAATCCACTGCAATTTTCTTTACTTTATCTGATATTTGAGTTATTCATATAGTAATTTTTCTCCGCAATGCATAGCGCCAACAACTGGAAATGTGTGGAATTTGTCGAGTTCAGTGCAGTACCAGGAGATTCTTGGCTTCGGCGGGGCGATCACTGACGCCGTGGGCATCAACTTGGGCACACTCAGCAACGACGCCCGAGAAATTCTGCTCAAGTAAGCAAAGCCACTAAAGGTGGCACAAATTATAATGAAGGAAGAAATATACAGCTTAAATATATGTCTTTATAGAAATTATCAAGCAGAAAGATAGGTAAAAACTTCATTGTTCAGAAACGTTTACCAAGCAGACCCACGTACGGGTGACGTCACTGGTGTATATTCAGAAATGCCAGATTTGTATGGGATAATATCCTAGAAATAGGCCACGCCTGCTGTCTTCAGAATTCCTTCCTATACTAAACACGCGGCCATCTTCCCGTGACCCAATCTTATTCAAAGAGTAGAACTATTGCATTTGAAATTGTAACAATGGATAAGATTATTTTCAGAGTAGCTGATAGTAGCTAAGCTGATTAGTGAATTCCAATTTATATGGAACTCAAAGGTTCATTATTATGATCACACAAATCCGGTAACATACACCATCTTGAGCCAGCTGAATCCAGTATAAACACCCATACCACATTTTCTTAAGATCCGTCTCAATATTAACTTCTTGTCTACGACTAACGCTCCCAAAGTAGCCTCTTCTATATAGGAATTCGGACAGATTTTTGTATGCATCCTTCATCACCATCATTCGTAATACTTTTCGCATCCATCTAATCCCCCGCTCTTTAAACACATTACCAAAATTAGATTAAAGGTAGGCTTCTCGTATGCAATTTTCTCCAGCCATTTATTAGTTTCTCTTCCCTTCTGTCAAAGTATTCCCCTCAGCATTTGCTTCTCGAACGCTGTCGTCGCTTTCTCAAAGAGTGTAATCAAACATCATAATTATTCGACGGACCTACGATCCGTTCAGGAAGATAGACTTGAACATCCCCCTCACAAGAAAGTGCAGCAGAGAGAGGAGATTCTCCGAACAAGTGCTCTCATGTAGAAGGCGAAAGGCCGTGAAGCCATATTTCTCGTACCTAACACACTTCATGAAACGTCGCATTATATTTGTCAGCACTCCTCTTTTTGCGAACTATCCGGATTTCAAGACCTAGAAAGGATAAAGGCTAAAGTAAGAAACTAGAAAGTTTCTAGTCGCAGTAACCGTGGTGCCTATTCTCAGAAAGTTTTCCCTGCGCTTATTTAAACACCAAGCAATGACGTAGGGGCCAGTAGAGGTCTGGCTCCACATATTCTTAATCTCATAACTAGATGGAGGTAAGTGACCAGATTCACAGAGGCCCGGTCACATTAATTCCGGTAAAAGATTCTCTGGTACCAACTGGGTAGAACGCTGAGTGGGCCTTAGACCCGGTTTGGATGTTGTGAAGAAGAGGAAAATCTTTCGTCTCAACCGGAAATCGAGCTTTGATTCTTCAGTAGTTTAGCCCGTAACCCAGCCACTATACCAACCGAACTAACCCGGTTCTGTCTCTTTTCACATCACAATGAAAATTAGAGCTTTTCTCTAATTTGCAACAAAGAAATGACGTTTCTGAAATTTACAGCAGCCTCATTAGACAACAGATCATGTGGTTCTTGCGCTTTCACATTTCCATGATATATCCTTCAGTTTGGGGATGTGTACACAAACACACAAACACCAAACCAAGTAGCGACATATGTTCATGTTCGGTCGCCATAAGGCAGGAGAAAACTAATAAAAAGGTAGCTAAAATATCCTTCGGAAATGTGAACGACCCTAACAAATCAAAGTTGCATTCACGGAAAATGTTTTTAAACTAGGTGAATGCTTGCTACTATTCATTTAGAAACCGTTCGTCTCATAATGTTATACTGCAGAATTCTGTTGCACTTTTCACTTAGTGTAAATTAGTTTTTCACAGTCTAACGAGCAACACTATAATCTATGTTTCAATAAGTTTTATAAAACATTAGTGTTGTAAGTGAGGCTGTAAAAATAATTGACACTTTTCGTCTCCCTGTCTTGTTTCTAAATGTAAAGATTAATATACAACACATAAAACTATATGAGCCAGTATAGCGACTGGCTGGATGATCGAGGGGTCAGAGTTCGAGTTCAGGTATGGTAAAAAAATTTTCACTTCTCCACGTCGTCCAAACCAGCTTTGGGGTCCACTCAACCTCCTATTCAATGGGTACCGGGGGATCTTTTCCAGGGTATAAAGCGGCCGGGGCGTGAAGCTGATCACTCACCTCCAAATTGTGCCCAGGTTAAGATAACGTGGGTCTATAGACCCACTCCCCCATATGCCTTCATGGCGTAGTACTTAATTAGATAAGTACAGGGACAACTTTATTTTGCCTTTACACAAAACCATATTTCCTTGTCTGCATTGATGTCAGACTAAGGTAAGAACACTCCTTGAATGCGTACGAAGAAAGCGTACAGGTGAGTTTATTTGAACCGAAGAGAGGAAACAAAGAGTAGGCTGGGGAACTAGCATACTGTGGAGCTATGTCTTGGGCCGCGCCATAGCTCAAGCGGTTAGTCGCTGGCTTCCCACCGCCGCGGCCCGGGTTCGATCCCGGGTCTGGTCAAGTGGGATTTGTGGTGGATAAAGTGGCACTGGAGCAGGTTTCCTCCGAATACTTGGATTCCCCTGCCAATCTTCATTCCACCAATTGCTCCACAATCACCCTCACCTATCATCTGGGGCTCATACAATAGGTCAGAAGTGGCCGCAGTACAAGGGACTTAGTCCCACCCCACTAGCAATAAATAAATTAAAATAAAATAAAGCTGGATTCTTCACAAAATACAGGGCTGACACGCCGGCAAAGGCGATCCAAGCCGTCCCTGGGGCGGCATGATTTCAATCGCGGCACATTTTAAGATTCATTTTTCTTTCTGGCTTTATGTTGAACGTTTTCCATAAAGTGTCTGCAAGTTTCGTGTAGTTAAGTGTGACGAAGTTTTTTGGGGGGAGGAGGAGGAACCGCTGTTTTTAGCTGAGCAAGGGTTTGGGCGTCATTTCCGATGGGCCGAAACGGCATATAGGTTCGCGCTTGCCCTAATTAAGTTTTAATAGGATGACAAAATCAAGGGCTATAAAAGGGAGTGGCCGTTAGCAAGAACGGGAGAAAAACGAAATGTTTAAAATAATTTAACCTGAAACTCAAAGGAAATAGGCCATTTAAAACAATAAGGCATGGACTCGAGGATAACATTAAAGAGATCTCAGCGCTGATTATATTCACGTGGGCCACGATATATGTCTTGACCGAGTGGCCATTAGCTTATCAAGATAGACTCACCTCTCTGAACTGAGTTAGCCAATTACACATGACTTTATTTTTAAGTGTATTCGATTTTGAATTTCATTCTTTTTATTTTTTCTTTAGAAGTCTGAAGACTCGCGTCCTTATATTTGAGGTGTGTAAACAGAAGTGAAATGTGTTTCCCTCCTTCAGCCAATACTATGGTCCGCAAGGCATCGGCTACACGTTCGTCCGAACTCCGATAGGTGGAAGTGACTTCTCACTTAGATTCTACACTTACGATGATGGCATCGCAGACCGCACCCTCTCACGCTTCAAACTCGCAGAAGAAGATTACAAGTACAAGGTAAGAAAGTCAAATTAATAAAAGCAACTTGTTCTAATAAACATAATCACTAACCGATAGATATCACGGGCTATAATATTTGTCATCTCTTCGTGTCATTGAGCTCAATATGTAAATGATTTTTCATATTGTAGAAAATTAAATGTTTCTTTATCCATTTCAAGCGCAGTGTTTACCGGAAAACCTCGAGACTGTCGTAAGGGGAATTTAATCATATTTTCTGCTCTTATTTTCCAGCCCATTTTCTTATAACACATAGTATGTAACTTATACTGGTAGTTCCAATAAAAAGGTAAATCTATCCCACTAACAGACCGTCAAGACCCATAGGGTTGTGAGACGTTGAGGCTCCCACATTATCTAGAAAATCGGCTCAGAGATGGCGGTGAGGTTGTCAGGCTTACGCGCCAGCCGCCCTTTACCCCACCAGGAAGATTCCTGGTGCTCATTTCCGTTAGAGACTGAGTTGAAACCAGGGCTATAGTGCCGCTGGAAGGAGTAGGTAAATTGAAAAATCCAAAGACCTCATCGGAAATCGCACCCGCGAGGACAGTGCCTCAGCCAACTGCTCTACGGCGTGCCCCTTCCAGCATAACGTAGGCAGAGGCTAGATTAAAAAGTGACTTTGATTAGAATGAAGAATAACTGCTTGTAATTTCTAAATGTACAGCTCCCTTACTTGAAGTATATCAAGCAGCTCTCAGATCCCAAGGTGATAACTGCTCCCTGGTCACCACCGGAGTGGATGATGGAAGCAAGGAACGCCACTGTGGGGTTCACACGTCTGAAGGACCAGTATTATCAGATCTACGCCGAATACTTCGTCAAGTAAGTGCACTGCACAATTCTTTTCTGTATTTCAGGTCATAATTGGGCTGGCATTACGGTGTGTACATTTAACTTCTAAACAATATGACCATAAGAACATTGGCTACTTTTGTTAAGTTTTAACAACAGAACTAAAACTAAAACTAAACTCCGTGGACTGTAGTCCGCAAGCGAACTACACCGACCGAGCGACCGCCGCTTGTCGGCGAAGTTAGTCCTAAATTTAGCCGATAGAGAATGTCACGTGGTCAGCGCAACGGATCCCCACGGCCATTAATTGAAATAGCTCCTCAATTATCCTCACGAGGCTGAGTGGACCCCGTTCCTGACCAATTACTCCTCATAAAATTTTGTAGCGCCGGAAATTGAACCCGGGACCTCTGGATCTGTAGCCAGGAACTCTGACCACTAGACCACAGAGATGCACACTTGACTGAAAAGTGTGTTTCATCTTATGAACGTTTGAAAAATATAATGAGAAGCAGAATACGCTTTGAAGATTCGTCTTGGGAAAGTGCATTGTGACGATGGGAGGTGAATGCTACGATTCGGTAACCGAAATCTTGACCCTTAGATTCTGCTACCAGATATTTGGTTAACTACTTATATAATTATATTTAATAGTCAGTATACAAAGGTTCACTTCCCCTTAAGTACTTTGCTTGAATTTATTGCATCGTACATCTGCTGTTCTGTGATACATTTAAGGGAAAATGACAAATGAATTTAAAAATATATTCAAAATATTTGGAAGAACAATATTGTGATCAAATTTATAAGAGAAGCTTCGGTTAATGTTAGGATAAAAGCTGATTCGGTGTTTGATTCTGTGATTATTTTATTAAAACTTAAAACAAAATTTCCTTAATTATTTACTTTGATTTGTATTACAGTTTCTTGCAAGCTTACCAAAAGGAAGGGATTGATATTTGGGGTCTGACCGCTCAGAATGAACCTGGAGACGGCTACTACGTGTACTTCGGCATTAACAGCTGCGGGTATTCCCCCGAAGAAGAGCGCAACTTTGTCGCCAATAACTTGGGCCCAACATTGCAGAAGAATAATTTCGGGAAAGTGCTCATTCTCGGCTGTGATGACCAGAGGACAGTTCTTCCAGAATGGGCAGAAGTGGTGAGTGCTGATGGGAGTCCGGGACAGCTGCGAGGTAGTGGTCTAGGTCTCTTCTACTCTTCCGTAACCGGAGTGTAACATGCGGACTCCATGATAACGTGACATCTCTTGAATTAAGAAAAACTCTACAGTAACGGTGCCTTTTCTCTTTATTCCTTTTCCTTTATTTCCTTCGTTCCTACTTTATATTATTTCTATTCTTTTAATTCAGGAGCCGGGATAGCGTTGTCGGTACAGCGACTGGCTACGGGCAGGACGATAGAGGGGTCGGAGTTCGAGTCCCGGTACGGTCAAGAATTTTCTCTTCTTCACGTCGTCCAGGCCGGCTCTGGGTTCCAACCAACCCCCTATCCAATGGGTACTGGGGGCTCTTTCCTTGGGAGTAAAGCGGCCAGGGCGTGAAGCTGAAAACTCACCAATTAGTGCAGAGGTCAAGAAAATATGGACCTATACATCCACTCTCCCATACACCTTCATGGCCTAATGCTCAATCAGTTAAGCACGGGGACAAATTTACCTTACCTTTCTATTCTTTTAATTCCTTATTTTCCTCCTCCTTCCTCATCGCTGCTTCTTTTCTTCTTCCTTCTCGTCCTCCATTTCCATCCAGAAATTTGGATCCTTCAAAGCCCGAAGTAAAAATAAGAATTTGTCACGTCATCTGTTCCTAGTTCGCACACTTCTTCAAACGGGTACAAAAGTTTAGGAATCTAAATTTTAGAATTATTATAGCGCGAGAAAATTCTTGTTCAGACTGCTCGAATCACTAAAGAATGGTCTCATTTCCTTTAATAATACTGAGCAAAGTGAAGCGTAGAATTGTGCTTGCCATTTTCAGATGCTTAGTGACGAGACGGCTTCTAAGTACGTGAGTGGCACAGCAGTGCACTGGTACTTCGATGATGACTACCCTGCATCGCGTCTGACACGACTTCACGATTCGTTTGAAGATAAATTCATCCTGTACACTGAGGCCTCCTACAGTAAGTACTGGACTCACTCGCAGCATTGCAATTCAGCTCTCGAACAAGCTTCTACGAGTATAGAGCTATAGGACCCAACACACCAAAAACAGTACTATTAAGGCTAATGTAAATAAGAATTTGCTAGATGACAGGGACTTTATAATCCAGCTGAGCTACAATCAGCTTCTGAAGAAACACTCTGTTCCATGGAGTTGGTCAGTCAGCCAGTGAAGACTATTAGGTCAATAGTACCGAGTTTACATACCTTATTTACAAAGTTATCATTCCTAATGCTATGTACTCTGTCTTGGGTAGACCTCTACATAAAGCACCAACAAGAAGCATCCTACAAATGTCTCTCACGTTACTAATTCATAATTCTTCAAGCCTTTTCATAAAATCCTTCCTGTTTCAGTTCCTGGCGCTAACGAACCGGCTGTTCTCTTTGGAGAATGGAAAAGAGCGGAGAAATTGGCAAAGGATATTATCGATGTAAGCAGACATATTAACTCCCTCTCTGTAGACATTTGCATGTTTACAAGCTTACACGATATAATTTACTATATCGTAAAGACAAATGTAAATGCAACTCCATTGTTGTGTTGCTCACGTAACAAAGCTCTTCCATAATATTTTTAAATTCTGGTTATAAATGTAATTAGACGTACTGACTTCAAGATGATACACAATTCTCCATATTTTTCATATTCTCTCAGCATCATTGCCGTGCATTTTGAGGCCGTGTATATAAAATCTCAGAACTCCTGCTGCGTGATTGTAATATTTTGTCAAGACCACAACGGCTTTGAGGCCCCTTCAGTCTGTCCAATTGATGCCTGCTTTTCCTTCCCGGATCCTTTAACTGAGCACTCACCTTTATCTAAAACTGAGCCTAAAAAGCCGCTGACTATTACTTCCACTTCCTTATACGTTTTCAAGTCCAGGTGTATAGGCACGATAGATAATTTCTGTGAGTATTAATATCATTGCGATTATTATTATTATCATAATCACTATCATTATCTGCCTGTGCTGCTATCGTTAAAGAACAAAGGCAGTTCGAACGAATTAAAGACGAAAAAAATAATTGATAAGATCCAAAAGACAGAAAGAATTTGGTTTTCCAGATTGGTGGAATTAAGAGAGACTAATCAAATATTAACCGCGTTCAGACTAAGAGGTAAAATAAAAATAATCAGAGTGTTGTTCGTTAGAGAAACGAGATCGGAAAGGATAAGCAGGAATACTTCCACTGTCTTCTAGATTTTATGATGACGATGATTGTTGTATCATCGACTGAAAAGCTGAAGTGTTTATTAGTTCTTCGTTCCAACGTGTCCTCACGAGCATGGATTTATTAAGCTGTGTACTGTGAGACTGAGACACCGACGGTGATGACCTTGCAGAGAACCTGCTGAGATGTTACGCTGTGAAGTCTTGTAGATGCCTATAAATATTTCGGAGGAGTATACTGCATCCATCTTGAGGGATCGAGAGCAAACAAAGGGGCAAGCAGAGCAGCTGTACTTGTTGCTTGGCTGGCTTACGTTTTGACCCTTAAGATGTAGACTGTGCATTCATTCCAAATACAGATAAATAGTTGCAATATTATACGGCATAATATCGCATAAGATTGTACTCATCAAAGTCATTTCTTGCTTGTAGATTATTATTAATCAGTTGAATTGAATTTATTTACATTCTATAAATCCTAAGTACAGAACAAGTCAAAATGTTACATACATAAGTACAGGCAATTTTAGCTTAAAAATTAATATAACTTAATTTTACATCATTCTCTATTTACATTGAAGTATTCATCTAAAGAGTAGAAGGAATGAGCATGTAGATAATTCTTTAACTCTGATTTAAACTTTTTAGTATCATTGCCCAAGTTTTTAATACTTTGTGGCAGATTGTTGAACACTTTTATGCCAGTAAAGTAGACTCCTTTTTGATATACTGATAAAGTTGATGAGGGTAGGTGGAAGTTATATTTTTGTCTAGTATTCATGTTATAGACATCAGAATTTAATTTGAATTTATCTTTGTTGTAAACAACAAATAAGAGAAGCGATAATATGTATTGCGATTGAAGAGGTAGAATTTTTAATTTCTTAAATAATTCTCTACATGAATCTCTACTTCTACATCCTGTAATGATTCTAATTATATTCTTTTGTATTTTAAAAATTATTACACTATGTGAAGAGTTCCCCCAAAATATTAATCCATAGTTCATAATAGAATGAAAGTAGGCATGGTAAACCATCTTCAATGTTTCCTGTGACATAAAAGGCTTAATTGATCTCATCGCATAGCAAGCTGCATTTAATTTAGGTATAATTTGTTCAATATGTTCATGAAGTAAAAGTAGGTGCGTTTTTGCGGCAGGTTATCAACCACTGGGTGAGCGGGTGGATTGACTGGAACCTTGCCCTCAACACCGTCGGAGGGCCGACTTATCTGAATAATAATCTGGACGCTGCAATTATTATCAACGCTACGGCCAACGAGTTCTACAAACAGCCCATCTTCTATGCACTCGCCCATATGTCCAAATTTGTCCTTCCGGGATCCAAGCGCATCCAGCTGGATGCTACTGATGACAGTGGCATCGAAAACGTGGCTTTCCTCAGACCCGATAACATTGTGGCAGTGGTGCTTCTTAACAGGTGAAAAAATCCGACTTTCCTTGAGGAGAGTGACTGCGGCGATCACGAGGTTCATGATTGCCAAAAGCCCTGACCACCCTCCCAATTTAACCCTGAGGTCTGGAATCCGTAAACAGTTACCTTCACGCCCCCACTCGGGATTCTGCTTGATGACATGGTGCTCAATCACCGGGCAAAATCCACATTTACCTGACAGCTGTAATTAAGAAACTGTCTCTAAGAAAAAAAGAACGAAGGACTTCCGATATTTGCAGATGAGTTTTCCGTGGCTTCTCCTGCAGCAGACCACTTGCCTTCACAACCAAACACTGAACTGCTCTACACTGCTTGCACGTGTAAGGGAGTTTATCATTGGAAAATTACACGTACACTTTGGGTCTCTATGTGCTGCCCTCATTACACCTCTTGCATCCTATTCTTTTACCTTCCCTTCTGATCATTCTTTCTTTTTTCCTTGCTCACTTTACTTCTCTCATTCTTACTCTCTTCCTTCTTTTCTTGAGCTGTCGCTTTATTTATTCTTTCCATCCATCTTTTATTTCACTGTCTATTATTCCCTTTCCTCATTTCTTTCTTCCCCTCTGCTTTTCTTAATTGCCGTCCTTTTTAATAACTTCCTCTCTTCCTATTTTCTTTCCACATTTCTTTGTTTCCTCCTTCCACTCATTCGTTCTTTTATTTTTTCTTGTTATATTTCTTTCTTACCACCATTCTTTTCATTCTTATAATTTCGCTTCTTTCGCCCCACTTTCATTACTTTTTATGCACCTTTCTTCCCTTCTTTGCTTGTTTCTCAGTTTCTATCTCTTTTTCATATTCTTTTACCCATACATCATTTGATTTTTCTTCCTGTCTTCTTTATTCCTTATTTTTAGCTATTTTCATTCTTTATAATTTTGTTTTCCATTATTCTTTATTCCTCCATTCCTTTCTTCTTCCTTCGTTGGTTCTTTCTGACTTTCTTTGTCCTTTCTTTCCATCATTTTTATCTGTTTGCTTGTTTCTTTCTATCCCTTTTTATCCTTACCCATTCCTTCTGTTATTTGTTTCTTCCTGTATGTCTCCATTCTTCACTCGCTCTTTCTTGCATTCTTCTCATATTTCTCTCTTTCTCCGAGCTGTATCATCCTAAATGTGCCATATTTCTGTTTTCAGTAACGATGACGCCAGAAGCATCACTCTGCGGACGGACGCAAACACGTACATCCCTGTCATACTTGATGGCCACTCGCTCAATACAGTCATCTACAACAAAGCCTAGGGGAGCAGGGAAAGTTGTGGTTTCTACTGCCACGTAACCTAATAATAGAGACATACATATAATGGATGTAATTTTCTTAGCCATCTAATAATAAGCCAAGAATAAAGTAAAGCATCTTGATGAAATGAATTATTGACAAATAAAATGAAATCTCCAGATATCTTCTTCAATGTCCTATCTCGACACCCTCAGTTACTGTTATACCATGCCAGTACAAATGGATAGTATTATAGTTCTGTATACTTAAATGTTTACATTTTTACATAGGAAGAGAAATATTCTGACAGTAATGACATTGTCACGGATAAGGGGGTTTTGTGACTAATAATAATGGGTTGTGGATTTGATGATTGAATTTATTCGCATTTCTTTAAAATTAGTCAATTATAACAGCATGCACATTTAACTCCTTCTGAATGCATTACGACTCCTGTCTTACGAATGCCGTATGAAGAATCTCTCGTGACTGAAATCTCCTGGACTGAAGTAACTTCCATGCGGACCGAATAGAGATCGCCGTCCCCTAGGGTTACACTACTGCTCTTCATGAATGCGTTGTCTTGGAAGCGTGCATGAACCGTTGCCTATCAAATTAATAATTCAGTGTCTGGCTCTATTCTTCCGGCTTTTAGGCGGTGTTTACCAAGCCGTTGCCTAGCAAATGATCTTTCCGGTTTGTTGTCACGAAAACGTGTTTGCGAGCAGTTGTCGGGCAATGGATTATTCCGGGATTCAGGCTTCATGTCGGAATATAATGAATTCTCAAATTTAGTCCTCTCTTAACTCCTCCGTGAGCTGTGATGCCATGGAATGGAGCTGCGTCAAATTGAATCTGAATTGCGATGTTGCTCTAACTGCAGACTGAATTGTCATATCATGAAGTGTACTTACTTTAATGTAGACTGAACTGCAGATGCAGTTTCGAAGCCGAATTGCTTTAACTCGAATGAAATTGCGATTATAATCTGGAAAGGGACTTAATTTCCATAAGCTTTCCAATTCCTCGCATGGAATGAAGAACTGCTAAGATTACAGATTGCTTTAGAAATTTCAGGAATATAATTTCGGTTCAGTTAAAACGATCAAATTATATTTTATAGTTCTGAATTTACTAACCAACTTTGTTAATGTTAGGCTTAAGAAGAATGTTTTAAATTTTGTACGATACAAACACCTGGATTAATATTCATCACTTAAAAATATGAAATTAATTTAATATTTAAGACTACGATTACTTCTTCCCATATGATAAAAATGAGAAACCTACAGGCAACTGTTCACATTTAGTTTAAGATACTTATTCGAATTTGCTATATATATCAAAGCTTCATTGACTTACTGAATGAAGAGACAGTTTTATTGTTTGGTTTCATGACTTTTACTGATTTTTCTTTTAACATTGGGAGGTTCTTCTATATGAGTAATATATTTGTGTCATCCGTGAATAACACCACCTTAGCTTCTTGAACTGCTTGGGGCAAATCGTTTATAAACAACAAGATCAGAAGGGGTCCCAAAACAGAACCTTGAGGTACACCCTATTTTATTTCTTTACATTATGAAGCAAACGGCTTTATACTTGCGGTGATTACCTTATTAGCTTCTAAAAAGCTGAACTGTTAGTTAACTACTTGGCATAACACAAACTATAACTACATCATGAGGTCTTCTGATTTTGATTTATGAAAATCTTATATCTCTGGTCTCTGTCTGTTTTAGGTTGCTTATACTGTACCTCATTATTTCCTCTTTATTCAGAACATATTTTGACCTACTGACTTTTGCCCTTATTCTGCTAATAACAAGGGCAAAAATTAGTAGGTCGAAATATGTTCTCGATAAAGAGACCTACTGATTCTTACCCTTAGCTGCTGAGTAGCTCTGCTGGAGTGATAAGCCCAGCCCAGTCTTTCATGAAGATTCAACTTGATTTTATTTTTTCATCCATAACTGAAGTGAATACAACTGGACATGTCAAAAAATAACAACCAATACAGTGTGTCCACAAAGTCCCATTGGGGTTTTGAAAAATTATGGCGCGCAAACAAACTGAGTTAGCCACACGTGGTTTGCAGCAGATCATACTGAAACTCTGGAAGTTTCTTACTGACCTCAGTAGACCTCGATGTGTGGTCCCCTGGTAGCACGGAGAACATCCAGACAATATCTGAGCTCTTGCCATGTTCTCTGGAGCATGTCCGCAGGAATAAGAGAGTACACATTCCTGATATGGGTCTTCAGGTCATCAAGTCCGTTAACTGGTGTTTGGAACACACTGCTCTTAACATAACCCCACAGGAAAAAAGTCCACATTCTTAGACAGGACATTTCCAGGAAGATGGATTGGCAGAGATTGTCCAATGCCTTGGCCTCCATGTTCACCAGACATAACATCACTGGATTCTTTCCTGTGGGGTTATGTCAAGGGCAGTGTGTTCCGAACAGCAGTTAACAGACTTGATGACCTGAAGGCCCGTATCAGGAATGCAAATCTTGGCTATTCCAGCAGACATGCTCCACAGAACATGGCAAGAGCTTGAATACTGTCTGGATGTTCTCCATGCTACAAACGGAGCTCACACTGAGGTCTACTGAGGTCAGCAAAAGACTTCCAGAGTTTCACTATGATCTGCCGCAAACCGCACGTGACTAGCTCAAATTGTTTGCCTGCCACAATTTTTCAAAACCCTGACGGGACTTTGTAGACGCACTGTACATCACATATCAAAGTCACACAAAAATTACACAATGATCTATCATGATAATATAACTGTTACAAGGTACATAACAATAAAAGAGGCATAAGACCAAAAGAAAAATATCAGTAATATAAAACATGTAAACACAATATTAAAAATTGCAAACCAAGACACAATCAAAAAACTAGCCATGAACCAAACATTAGTTGAAAAACTCTCGAAAAGAACAGAAAGCGGTGCACAGCAAATAATATTTGAGTTCCTCTTAAAAACATTAAAATTGTCAATGCTTTTCAATTCAAGGGAAGGACATTAAATATTTTAGTTCCCACATTGATTACACCTTTTTTTTTTCAATGATTGGTATTATAAAATTGGACACATAAATTATGTTTATGTATGGTACTGTAGCTGTCAAAGTCAGAATACTCAGTTGTATAATCTTATTCTTTATTATAAAACATAAAATCTCAAATATATATGAGATAACAGTTAAAATCTTAAATTCACCAAACATACACGTATTTCTACAGATACTCTATTATTAACACCTTTAATCACTCTTAGACATTTTTCTGTATTTTAGATACAGTTATAGAGTCCTTAAGCCCCTATCCCCAAAAATAATACCATATTTCAATACAGATTCAAACTCAGTAAAACAGACATTTCTTAATACAGGTTGGCTAACTGAGTCACATAAGGATTTAATCAAATAAAGAGCCTTGTTGAGATTTTGGCATATGTATTGAGTGTGAGTTGCCCAGCTTAGATTTTCAGTGATACAAATATCCCAAAATTTTACATTCGATGAATAAATTATTTCCTTATTATTTAAGCAAAAACAGATCTATAGAGTTGAGTACGTCTTCTTCCCTGAAATAATAATACGTTAGTCTTATCTGTGTTTATTATGAGATGATTTCCATGGAACCAACAGTCTAATTGATTCCTAACTTTTAGGATTTCTTCATTTAATGATAAAAGCTTATTGTCAGTAAGCAGTTCTGTCACGTGTAGGGGGTACGTCACCCTGCAGCCTGCTTCTTGCCCCTATACCGCTTCTTCCATCCTTTGACCGGTTTCACTACGGCATCTTCCACGAGGACTTCTTGATGCTCTGCTGCCTCAGGTTTACTGTCCAGTGAGGTTGGGTCTTTTTCTTCTAGATGCGACTCCGTCGTTTCTCGGCAGGCCATCACCTCTTTTCAGGTAATCGACGTAATTTCTTCTATAGGTTCTCCGACCAGCATCACTGTGGCGTCTTGTACGGGTACCTCCTCTTTTTGGACCACCTCAGATTTCACATCCACTGAGGTCGGCTTCTTCTCTTCATCTGTCTCCATCGCCTCTTGGCAGGCCGTTCTCTCGTTTCGGCATGCCCTTAGGGAGTGAATTCCAACGTCTTAGTTAGGAATCTTCTGCCGCTCCACTATATCCTCTTTTTCTCTTGGATCTGTCTCCAACTTCTCTAAATTTACCTCCATTGCATCTTGGCAGGCTGTCGTCTCTACATCCATTTTGGGTTTGCTTTCGACCACTCTCCTTGTGGCTAGCGCCCATCATTTTGTCTCACATGGCGGCAATCTCTTCTAGCCAGGCTTTCGTATCAGCATCCTTCTCTTCTCGCCTCCTGGCCATCCTTTCGTCTCGTATAGTGACAAATTTTTCTTGCCAGGCTTTCATATCGGCATCCCTCTCTTCTCGCCTAGCAGCCATCATTTTGTCTTGCATTGTGACAATCTCTTCTTGCCAGGTTTTTGTATAGGAATCCATCTCTTCTCACATGGCAGCTGCTTTTCTTGGCTAGCTCTGATTTTCTTCAGCAGGAGTTCCAACAATCTGCTGTGACTCCATTTTTTGTGTGTGGGGTTTCCATGTTTTAAGTTCTTATCCAATTCTGAAAAATCCGATACTATTCGAGCTGCCAACATCTGACACCAAATATGTCACGTGTAGGGGGATACGGGACGAAATGATAGGTTCTAGTTCGGATGATTGGATTTATTGCCAGCTTGGTTACACGCACTCTGTCTATTACACCCTTAATACAGCTCTATCGCTGACTTACACACATAAGATCTTCTAATCCACTGTTTCACGCACCGTTGCACACATGAAGTTTTCTGCATCACACTTGACATCCTCACGGGCAACCTTGTGTAGTCCTGGTTCCACTTCACTTGCTTCCGCCACTCTCAACTGCTAGACTTCAATCGACTACACAATACTGAATCAACAAAGTCAAAGTCAAAGTCACATTGCGACTGACGGACAGTCAGTCTGTAAGTATTGGTGTTGAGCCTCATCTGGATCTCATGACCAGATATTTATTACTCTTTGACAGTTACGGTCTTGCTTTTTGTGGGCGCCATCTCTGACGAGAAGACGGGTCTGTCTTTTGTATATGCTGATGGTCCTTGCCAGCGC